GTGGAACAGCTTGGGCCTTGAGCTTGCGTGTGCAATGGTTGGGTGGTTGAAGCCTCTTTAATTGTGCCTGTGATCATCCCCCCTCCCCCGATGTGGAACGGCTGGGGTCTTGAGCGCCGGAGTTTAGTCCCCTGCCCCTCCCCGTCTCTCTCTGAAACAGGGGCCATCCGCACAGCTGCCCAAGGCTATCGACCCGTGTTTTATGGGCGGATACATACGGACATACGTACGTACGTACATATACATGTATATGTATATATATATATACACACACGTATATGTTATGTACTTCTGTCCAAATGTATGTCTAATGCGCGTACTGAAATAAATCAGAGTCTAGCGATTCGTCCGCCTTCGCTGTGGCGAAAATTCCTCTTTTCTTGAGCTGTGTGCCGCGCTCCCCCATCTGCACCGATGTACGACTAGAAGCGACTAGACTTAATTAGAGCAGGCAAGAATATGCATCGTCGAATTCCGTAGAAGCGGCCGTGGAGGCGACGCAACGCCGGAACTACAATGCCGTGCAGACCCTTCTTGCGCATGGTGCAGAGGTGGACTGCAAGGAGCCACAAAGCGGTTGGATCCTCGGACTGCATTGAGCGCACAGTGTAGTTGCCTGTTTTGGCATTGGTGCGCAAAGCTGGAGCGAGGACGCCTTTGATGTTTGCAGCATCTCTTGGCGATTGCGACATCGTGAAGATCTTGCTTGACAAAAACGCTTCCATCAACGAGTTTGCCAGTCCGCACGACTGGAATCCACTCTGTTGTGCGCTCCAAGCCAACAACAAAGATGTGGTGCGCATTCTTCTCGATGTCGAGACCTTACGATGGGAGTACATTTTTGGTGGGAGAGTGCAGAGGAATTGAACAGTGATGCGCATGTTGCAGTCACACAGGGCGTAGAATCTGTACACAGGTGTGCATGATGTTGCAAAGACACGGGGGCCCTGAACCACATGCAACGTTCGGAATGTGCCCAAGGAAACGAGGTACGGCATTGCCATGTCTTCAGTGCGGGTGCTCGATTTGCTAAGAAATGTCACCTTCCCGCCCAGACCCCGAATATTAATTCCCACCGTTGCAACCCTCAAATTTAGTCCCAATTCTAGCGTCCATAAACCAAAAAACCTTGCAACCCCCAAATCGAGTCTCATAAATTAACCCTTTCAGGGTTTGTGTCGCTTTTGGAAGCCAATAAAGTTCAACGGCACGTCGTTTTAGCCTCAAACGCGATGCTGCCCTCCAAAGCTTGCGAAAAAGGTACTCCCACGCGTGCGGCTGGGGAGGGGCCCGCCGTGCGGGGGAGTACACAGGGAGTTTGGGGCCTGGACCTTGTGAAAAAGGTACTCCCACGCGGGGAAGTACACAGTTCGGGAGTTTGGGGCCTGAAGCTTGCGAAAAAGGTACTCCCATGCATGCTGCTAGGGACGGGAGGGGCCCCCCGCACAGGGGAGTACACAATTCGGAAGTTTGGGGCCTGCAGCTTGCGAAAAGGGTACTCCCACGGGGGCTGCTCTGGGGAGGGGCCCGGAGCTACATGGAAGAGTAGTTTGGGGGCCCCGAAATTGCAGAAACCGTAAACCTTAAATCATTATGAACCCTTTAAAAAGGGACTCTATATAAGCCCCTGTATGGGTGCCGCGAACCCAAGAGGCCCGTGAAGTGAAAATCGTGATCCATCAACGATCTGTGCAAACCCGTTTTGGGCCACCTCTGCTCCGAGTTGGCGGTTCGGTTCGGCAGGTTCGCGGTTCGCGGTTCCTAAACCGGTTGCGGTTCCAGCGGTTCCTGAGGAATCGGTTCCGGTTCGCGGTTCCAGTTCGGTTCGTTACCTTTCATGAAACAAAGCGCCGTTGAACTTTTTTGGGACACGGCCCTGAAGCTGGGTCGTGGGGGCTCGGTGCCGGGGGCCCGTGGGCCGGGGCGGAGGGCCCGACTTTAGCCCCAAACACGACGCAGGGATTTGTGGGGATCTATTCGTGGCGATGTTTCGGGGGCTTTAGGGAGGTTAGGCAGTTTGGGGAGTTTTGGGTTTGGCGGTTTAAAGGGTTTAGCAGGTTTAGGGGTTGTAGGCTTTTGGGAATTGGGTCTCATTTCTGCTTCCCAACGATTTCTTGTTGAACGCGCTGGCCGCGATCATCCAGCAATTGAAAGTACTGCTTGTGTGCATGTCAGAGGCCGGTGCTGATGTCAGCTTAATCAAAAGGAGGCATCCGGCGCTCGCGGAGCTGTACGACGCCGGGAATGCATCAGAAGCGTGTTTTTGTTGGTTTGCACGTATTTGCACATTCTCCAGAATCGCTAGCCACTATGGTTGGTGGAGGAGTGCGAGCTGGAAGACGTGTGTGGAACTCCTGTGAGTGGCCGCTAGAGACTTGTGAAGGAGCAGTGACTGCCGTGCCCAGGTAGTAGCTCGATGTCGGGCTTGAAGCCTTGTTCATCGATGCCAGCTGTAGCAGAGCTTGACACTTCAAGTTGTCACTCACGAAATAGGCCTTTAGAGTCTAGCTGTGGGTGCATACCATAATCGCAACATCTTTTGACAGTTGACACCGCGCATTTCGGTAAGGTAAGGCTCGCAAGGTCGGCATGCAAGCGCAATTGAAAGCACCATGCAATACCACTTGGCCGAAGGCTTTGGTTGCCATGCCACCAGCTTTTGTATTGTTTCAAGGATGCCACGTTTGACATTTTGCAGACTGGCTAGCGTGCATCTGACACCTGCTTCAGACACGGTCCGATGCGGGGCTTCGGCTTCCGTCATGTACGTGCAAGCTGTCCGAGCCTCGCACCTCCAGGCAGTCTCTGCTTCCAGGTATAGATGGAGTAACAGTGATGACTAAGTTATGGAAAGGCAACATCGTCCAACATGTGCTTGCTAAAGCTTTTCAAGCCTCATGGAAGTAGTAGTAGCACGTGCAGATTGTGCACACAGCTACGACGAGCCGAATTCTTACAGCTTGACTGGTCTTAAGCCATCAGAATTTGGTGCTGGCGGCATTTCGGATAAGGACTGCGCAGAAGGTTTCAAGTCTGTGCCTTTGCCGAGTTGCCAAGATGCCTTTTCGATATCGCACATGTAGATACACGGTGTACATATTTTACTGCAAGCCAGCCGATGCGCGTCGAAAAACGGCACGAAGACTATCGCTCCCTCAGGCTCCTCAGGTTCTGACAGATCTGCTCACTGGCAGTGCCTCTGATACTGCACAATGCAATGCTCATGTGCCACGGTTGTGCTTTGCTAGGCTCAGCCTTGCTGTTCAAGGAATTGAGTACCTAAGTCGTGAAGGCTGGTGGACCCCTTGTGAAAACATGGCAGCATGCATGATGCACCATGATGCACGATGCGGCCATGGCGCTTGACCCGTGTTCGGCTGTCCATACTGCTCTTTCAGGTCCTGCCCAATGTCGTAGTTGTAGTGCCAACAGCTCTGTGAAACCTGCCTTCAAAGGTCACTGAGCTACAGGGATGGAATGCTCCGTGGTACCTCGATTGTCGCCATAGTCGAGAGTGGTTGCCTCCTGAGACTCAGACTCAGATCCGTTCTGCGGTGTGGCCCTGTTCTTTGATGTCGTCAGGACGACTTTCAGAAGAGCACTGGAAGTGATAGGGGGAGAGTACCAGGCCAGGCCATGGCGAGTTATAGAGCGACCCCTCGACAGAGCTTCTGGGTCACACTCAGGAAGATGTTTGGTGGTGGGCGCAAGGCTTGCTCGAAAGGACGCGGTGTCTCTGTGTGGCACTTCTATTTTGTGCTGAAGATTCCAATAGGCGTTGCTGGTGTGTCCTGATTAGGACAACAGATCATGCTTGTAATCCACTCATACCGTAGTTCGCATACCCAGCAGTTTCCGCTGCATTGTAATAGGATCGAGCCGAGCTTTTTGCGAGTCCAAAACACCGACCACTTATTCTTCCTTTGCGGACGTCTCAGCATCTCATGTCAGATCCTGGCAGTCATGGCTTAGGAAAGCAATGTAAGTGCACGGCAGCAGGCAATCCAAATGCCAGCGCTGAAGATGATGAATGGGAGCCGCTCCAGGACCAAAACCACTTGCGGCTTTTCTATCGAGATTATGCGACGTGGTATCTGCTGCCGCAGTCGGACGAAGACAGCATTTTCAGACTGAGCACTGGCACCGATCGCTGGCCTCTCGGCTTGCTGAAGTTGAGTGTCAATAGAATCGACTCCCGTAGGATGATCAGAGGGCAGCACTATGTCTGGCAGATCTGCCTGCTGAGGACGGTTGAAGAACGTGAGATTCGCAGCTATGCCGTGCACGATTTTTGTTGCTGGCTAAGTCTCCGTCACATGTCGGTGCCCTTAGGCTGCCCCAAGTCTCGACTTAACCCACACCTTCACGAAAGGCTACTATGGATACATGGCTGCGATCGCATATCGAAGCAGGCTCAAATCGCTGTACCGTCAGTCTTTCTGTCTTGGGTTGATGCTGGCGGGAGGAACACGGATGGGAGCATTCCTGGAGTTCTTGAGGGTCGACAGCATGCCTTGACATTGCTGGCGCCTTGTTGCAAGCAGGCAGGTGCGTCGGCATCAGTGATGACCATCCAAGGCTCTACAACTTCTTGATGAGCCGCGCAAACTCCATTGACTTCCTGGACTCTTCCGGTTGGCCGTGGGACTGCAGCAACGAGTCTGTAGGCCCTGAACTCGTTCTGAACCTTTAGAGGCTGTCGCACCAAGACGTGCTGAAGCATTTGTACCCTCCAGATGGACCTGGCAGGAAACCGTGTGTTCATGAGATGCACATGCTCTCCTCAGCACTTGCAATCCAGCCGACAGTGGGCAGGAAATGGTCCAACATTCCTGATGATCCGCAAAGGCAAATGCAAGCCCTGCCGTCGCTTTTGAATTCTCAAATTGTCCTGCAGGCCATTGTCCGAGATTGGCCTGGACAGTCCGCGCACTGGACCACTCACTGAACCAGTTGATCCAAGGAGGGGATTAGTCTTTGGCCAGGTTCTCTCGACGGACTGCAGCAGGACATCTACGTGACGGCCAGCGCAACGCAACTACACGCTGCGGCACACGACTGCAGCATGTGCACACCTGGCCGCATGTGCACCACCATGTCAGGCAATCGGCTATCACACAACACTCGTGCCAAAGCCCCGGTTGTATTGGGGTGAGTCTGGCAAGATTCTCAGAGTAAACAGGACGCATGATGTGTCACATGTGTCACAGTTTGGCTCCAGCCATCTCCAGCCAACCGGATCTCGTTTTTGGGATCTTCGGAGGAGCTTCTGAAACCTCGCCAGTGGGACGCGTTGAGTCAGTTCGATCTGCCCTTCAAGCGCACCCCGGAAGCATTCCGTAATGCGTCAAGCGGGCGTGGGCACCGACCAGGATTCCCCGCTACCCTTAGAATTGTGACAGCTTGATCAAGTAACGAATCCGGATGGACAGCACGATACTTCGTACCTCGTGCTCCGCCTGTTGTTCATGCAATGTCTGGAGAATCAACTCTTGCGAGATGGCAGCTGCTTTGACCCCCTCAGTCCGGTGTGACAACTTTGCATTCCGTTCTCTCAGGCTTGAGCTGGTGTCGCTGTGGCAGGAGTTCTTGTCTGAGCCGGGTCCTTCGCTCCGAATCTCCTTCTGTCTCGACGGCGACGGAATCCAAGGCAGCACTTCCACTTCGCCCTCCATGTGCTGGAACCAGGGCTGGGAGAAGCGGAGCAGGAGGGACTCGACCAGGGGTAATTCATGCTACTGTACAATGTCGTGCTGCGCAGATTCGGGCCGTGAGCGTCTGCAAAGACTTCAGCGCCTATGGAGACCTTTGTGCTTGGGATGTGCGGCTGTTGGGCTTGATCCTTAGCTGCTTGAGATGCTGATTACTTGTGTCGTGCCCAGCGTGGCTTGGAATGCGCAAGGCCTGAACCAGAAGCACTTCAAGAAGGTCATGGCCTTACACGTCCTACGACTGCGGCTTGTATTTCTTTTAGCACTTCACAAGGCCACGCTGCCAGTCTCCAGGCTTCCATGCCCGGTGATTGAGGACCAGCGGGATTCCGCAGAGTCACTCGCGAAGATGCCGCTGTCCAGGATTCGTCAGCACTCCTCGAGGACTTTGTCGCCATCTTTCAAGGCACCAAGTTTGGCAGGTAGTTCAGTCAGCAGTCAGACTGGCGTTGGATTTTCAGGCGCCTATCGTGGCGATATAGACTCTCGCATCGATCGTGAAGGGCCAAGTGCTCGAGAGTGCTTCGTGCTTGTGTGGTTGTCCGGTTCTCGTACTGAGGAGCCGACTTATTCGTGTGCACGGAGCCTGCTTTTCTCTGCAATGCGCTGAGCCCGAGGCTGAGCAAGAAAAGCTTAATCTTTGGTACCGGGAAGGATGCAGAAACCGCCCCTGACCGAACAGGCAAGGAAAGGCATGGAATCAAATGGAATCCCAAAGGGTTCTACTCGGTGTGGAAAAGTCATCGTCGCTGCAAAGGCAGGGCCTTTCCACATCGTCCTTTGATCGGCTACTTTGCAAACCCGCTGACAGCGTGTGCTTGCAGCAAGTGTGTGCAAGCCATTGTCTGTGTGAGCGGTCGTTTCATAGCGCGTCCGTTGCGTCAGGTACCTCCCAGCAGCATCTGCACAAGCCTGGCTTGCAGACTTTCTGAGTCTGACACGCGGAGAACTCCCGGGACGCTGTTCCTCAGTTGCTTTGTCAGATGTTGTCAGCATGAAGCTCAGAAGGATTGTCAGTGGATTGTCTGGGCTTGCTAAGGCACTGCACCGTTCCTAGCTGTGGCCAACACAAGGTCTGTGGCCTGAAGCGTTTTGAAGTTTGTGCATGTTGTCGCTCAACGACTGCAAGGTTCTTGGCAGAGCAGATGCGGTTTCAGGCATTGGCTCTTTCACTCTGCGGCAGGATGGGTTCCATCCAAAAAACGGAGGGCATATTTTTTCGGTCTTTCTTTTTTTTGTCCTTTTTTTTTTCGCTGGGGTCCCTTTGAAGGCAATGAAGGAAGGAAG